AGAGAGAGAGAGGGAGAATTTTTTTTTAATATTTATTTTTTAGTTCTCGGCGGACACAACATCTTTGTTGGTATGTGGTGCTGAGGATCGAACCCGAGCCTCACGCATGCCAGGCGAGCGTGCTACCACTTGAGCCACATCCCCAGTCCTAGGCTGATTCTTTTTATGACATACAGTTGTCCCTCTCTATCAGCAGGGGATATATTTGAAGACCCCCAGCAGATGCCTAAACTACAGATAGTACCAAACCCCATATAGATGCTGTGTTTTTTTTTTTTTTACTCCTACTTACCTATGATAAAGTTTAATGTGTAAATTAGACACAGTATGAGATTAATATAAATAATTTAAAATAAAACAGATTAAAACAAATTAGTAAAAAGTTTTATGGATGATCTGTCTCAATCTCTCTCAGTCTCAGTATTTCTTAGTACTGTAGATTTTAGCAATCCCAGCATATCTTTTTTTTTTTTTTTTTTTTTTTACAATTTCTCTTTGGAATTGCTGGTGTCACTACTCTTACTTTTGGGCCATTAATAAGTAAATAAGGGAGAACTACTGTACAGTCAAATTGCTTTTAGCATTCTGAAAAAAAAAAAAAGACAAAACAGACTTACAGGAAAGATATTCAAACACATGGCGAAGATTATGAATTCTGGGTAAATGGTGTGGCTCCTTCCAATCTCACGCCTTCTCCTCTCTTGGCAGGGTGGATGTGGTAATCTGCCTTAGCACCACTGTGCGTAATGACACTCTGCAGGAAGCCAAGGAGCACAGAGTGTCCCTGAAGTGCCGTAAGCAGCTCCGTGTGGAGGAACTAGAGATGGTACTGCTTCCCACAAACCCCAGGGGCCCGTGCTTAGAAAGCTGGGGATGGGTGGGAACAAAGCCAAAGATTTTAGCAACTATTATTATGGTCAAGGTCGGAGTCACCTTGGTGAAATTTTACCATGTGGACATTAGCTTCTTGTCTTGCTGTTTTGTTTTGGTTTTGAAGGATAAAGCATTTTTAACACACATTGGAAAACTAGCTCTAGGGCAAGCTCTTAAGTTTGTTATAACGGTCATTAATCAATAATGTCCTCAGGGACTGAGGGTCTTTTCCTCTCTGTGGCATCAGCTTCATGCCAATATGGGTTTCACTCTTGGCTCCATACAGTGGCTGCCTGTGACACTGGACTGCCTATTCCACTACTCATCCAACAGGAAAAGGGAAAAAGAAATCTCCCTTTACCATGAAGTAAAGTTCCTTCCCATCTGTTGGATTGTGCCCACCCCCTAAGCAGCTGAGGTGTCCAGGGGACTGCCACACCATGCACTGATGAGTTTGCTTCTTATCAGGGTGGAATGAATTTGGGTCATATGCAGTGTACACTGTAGGAGGACACTTCTTGCTCTTGCTATTCTTGTTGAAGTCACACCCAGATCTTGTTAAAAAAAAAGATTAAATTTTTTTTGTATGTTTTTATGAATCATACCATTTCACCTCAGTCTAAGTAAAAATTAGTAATGGAGACCAAACATCATTAAATCACAGAAGTTGTCAGCTTTTCACATTCAGTGGCAGTGATTCATTCAATGATGATTCTATTTAAGTGGAGCTGGTCTGAGTGTCCTATTATAATAGAGACTTGTTTTGAGCTAGAAACTTTGATTTCCTCATTTGAGCCTGTTTTGATAAAATAATAAAGGTAGAATCGTATATTTGCACTATATTTTAACTTTCTAATGTGATTTTCACATAGTTTTATTTCATCTCAGCAGTCCTCTGAAGGACTAGACATGGCATTTCATTTTCTAAGAAGGCTTAAGGCAACACTGCTGCCATTTGTAGAAGTTGTGGTCACTAGATAAGATTTTTAAAAAAGATTCAACGGGGCTGGGGTTGTGGCTCAGCGGTAGAGCGCTTGCCTAGCACGTGCGGGGCCCTGGGTTCAATTTCAGCACCACATAAAAATAAAGAAAGAAAGGTATTGTGTACAACTAAAGAAATAAAGGTATTGTAAATAAATAAATAAATGAATGAATGAATATTCAACCAACAAATAAGTCTATAGAACACTGACTTTTCCAACCTAAAGAAGCTCACTTTCGGGGCTTGGGTTGTGGCTCAGTGGTAGAGCGCTTGCCTAGTATGCATGAGGCACTGGGTTCGATTCTCAGCACCACATATAAGTAAATAAAATTTTAAAAAAAGAAGCAGCAACTCACTTTTCCATGCTGACTCCCTCTTATACAGACAGAGGACATCCGGCTGGAGCCAGATCTGTATGAAGCCTGCAAGAGTGACATCAAGAACTACTGTTCCACTGTGCAGTATGGCAATGCTCAGGTAACCTTTTGCTTTGGTTAACTGTAGAAGTCATGTGAGAGTGACATTGTGATGACTAATTCTTTGCTGGTAAAACATGACCCATTACATTCTGTTGAGCCTTACTATCCTTTATACCATACCAGACTGCCTTTCCCAGAGTTCCTCCCTTATACTCTTCTTTGTCCCATATTTTTTCTCTTCCCTCTTTCCAGTTACCTCATCTTTCTCCACCTAATCTGCTTAATATAAGCTTCTAGTGATCCTTTAAGTTTCTCTTCCTCTTGATAGCTTTCCCAGCTCTTTTACCTTCAGACTGTTTTCCCATTGCACAGAAGTTCTTAAGAGTCAAGTAAGAATCATCTAGGGAAGTTATTTTAAGTACAGAAATAAGGCCCTCTCCAGAATTGCCAAGATGAATTATAAGCAAGTAATATTTTTTTTAAAATGTTCTCCAGTTACCCCAGTACATTGCCATAGTGCTTTAGCTTTTGAGATAATTTATATACATTGTCTCATATCTACCATTGCCGGTGAAAAACCTGAGTCCATCTGATTCTCATCTCTTTGTAGTTTATCCACGTCTGAGAGGGTTAGTTTTCTGTTTAACATTCTGTAATTTCAGTGTGATGTATGTGATGTAATTAGGTGCAGTGTTGTGTTTTCTCTAGCCTGGTTGGCTCTTTCAGTCTCAGAATCATGTCTTTCTCTGCTTCTGGAGAATTTTCAATCATTGTTCTTTCAAAATTTGCTTTCCATTTCCTTCCTCCTAGAATTCCGATAACTATCTCAGTCTGTCCTCTGTATCTTATTTTTGGCCCAGGGTCTGGCCATGTTGCTGAGGCTGACTTTGAATTTGTAATCCTCCAGCCTCTGTCTTTAACTTTTTTTTGGCGGGGGGCATTGTTTGTTTGTTGTACCGGGGATTGAACCCAGGGACACTTTACTACTAAGCTACATCCCCAGTCCTTTTCATTTTCTATTTTGAGGGAGAGTTGCTAAGTTGCTGAGGGTCTCACTAAGTTGCTGAAGCTAGCCTCAAACTTGGAATCCTCCTGCCTCAGCCTCCTAAATGACTAACTTTTCTTTATACTTCCATTTTTGTCACCTTGTGTATCATCTTTCTTAATGTATTAGTTGGTGTTTTTTGGTTGTTCCTGGAAGATTTTGTGGAAGCCTTGTGACTTCATGCTGCAGCCCTGGTTATTGTAGGTAGCCTCCTATCTGCTTTCTTTTTCTTCATTTTTAATAATATCTCAAGGTTTGGTGTAAGGAAGGGAAGATTTCAAGATATACTTAATTTATACTTAATTCATTAAAATCTATCCCATAACACTTTATGCTTTTATTTAGCACTCAATTTTTTCCCATCATAGTTACTTATGATTTGCCCTATGAGACTGTGTTTGTCAGAATTAAGGATTGGGACTTAAGTCTTATCTAGCCTCTAACAATCCATTCTCATGTGATACATGATACAACTTCCTGGCTTATGTCTACTATCTAGTCAGGGTTGTTGCTCCAGGCAGAGAATCTAATGCATGCTCCAAGGAGACTCTTGATAAGAAACAGCTAGCTCTAGAAGGCAGAAAATCCAGGAAACCTGAGTGAGTTTAGACTCCAGTATAGCCTGCTTCTCAACCTAAATTTTTATACTATTTGGTTTGCTACTGGCCCTAAGGTTGTAAATCTATAACTCTCCTTGGGGATTAACTCTTGATTCATATTGCCTTGGAATTAGAAATGAAAGATACTTGAATAGAAAATGGGGCATGCACTAGGAACTGAATGCACCAGTCAAAATATATAGACTGTCCTATAATCCTAGCAGCTCGGGAGGTGAAGCAGGAGGATTGTGAGTTCAAAGCCAGCCTCAGCAAGAGTGAGGCACTAAAGCAACTCAGTGAGACCCTGTCTCTAAATAAAATACAAAATAGGGCTAGGGATGTGGCTCAGTGGTTGAGTACCCCTGAGTTCATTCTCTGGTACCAACCCTCCCCCCCAAAAAAAAAAAACATGGACTGTCAATCTTTGATCCATTCCCCAACTTGACCATATCTCTTATGTCATAGATCATTGAATGTCTGAAAGAAAACAAGAAGCAGCTGAGTACCCGTTGCCACCAGAAAGTATTTAAACTGCAGGAAACAGAGATGATGGACCCAGAACTAGACTACACACTCATGCGAGTCTGCAAGCAGATGATAAAGGTAAGGGCCAGTTGTAGCAAAAGTGAAAATAATAGCATAAATCCCTCTCCATTGCAACCTGTTAAACACAGCCAAGATGGCGCTTCTCCAGATGTGATCCCTAGGCCAGTAGCATCAGCCTACCTGGCAACTTCAGATTCCTGGGCTCCACCCAGATCTGCTGGGTCAGACTCTCTTGGGCTAAAATAGAGACAATCTCCGCAAGCCCTCAGATGATGTGGATGAATATTCAAGTGGAAAACCGCAGAACTGAGGTAATTAGCCTCACTTTAGTTCAAGGCACAGGTAAATAGATACCCAATAAACACATGACTAGTAATTAAGGGTCGGTGTACTTAGCTACCATCCAGTGTGTTCCTATAAGATCATCTCCCGTATTCAAAGGGTTTTTCTGTTCTGCAGTTCTTTGCTTCAGTTATTCTTTTAGTAAATATTCTCAGAAGTTTCTTTATCTGTCCACACATATAAAAAAAAATTAAACTTAAGATCTAATTCCTATGTCAGCATTTTCAATGCCAACTCTAATGTACCAACAAAAAAAAATATGGAAAATAAATAAATAAAAGTTCAAAAAAATGCCAAGTTTCACCTACCAAATAAATTTCAAAGATAATTTCGAGCATTAAAAGTGTAAGTTTCAGTGGCTGTGGCTGTGGCTCAGTGGTAGCACACTTACCTGGTATGTGTGAGGTACTGGGTTTGATTCTCAGCACCACATATAAATAAATAAAATAAAGGTCTATCAACAACTTATAAAGGTTTAAAAAAAATGTAAGCTTCAGGACTGAGGTTGTGGCTCAGCAGTAGAGCACTTGCCTAACACATGCAGGGCCCTGGGTTTGATCCTCAGCACCACATAAAAATATATATATATATAAATAAACAAAATAAATGTATTTGTCCATCTATAACTAGAAAAAAGTATTTGAAAGAAAAAAAAAGTTTAAGTTTCTGGGCTGTGGATATAGCTCAATTGGTAGAGTGTTTGCCTTGCATGCACAAGGCCCTGGGTTCAATCCCCAGCACCACAAAAAAATTGAAAAATAAAAATAAATTAAAAATGTGAGTTTCTCGGGCTGGGAATGTGGCTCAGGCAGTAGCGCGCTCGCCTGGCATGTGTGCGGCCCGGGTTCGATCCTCAGCACCACATACCAACAAAGATGTTGTGTCCGCCGAGAACTAAAAAATAAATATTAAAAAAAAAAATTCTCTCAAAAAAGAAAAAAAAAATGTGAGTTTCTCTAGCTAGTCCTGGTCCAGGTGAGTCACATGGATGGAAATGTCAGACACTGATTTAAGAGAAAGTTTTAAAATTTTATAAAAGTCAATACACAATCCATATTCCCATATTAGGATGTTAATAGATTATAATCACACATGCTTCAGAGACCTACAAACAGAACTGGCAGGGGAGGCTTGATTCTAGTGTCCCAACCAGAGTTTATCAGGAACTGTGGCACTTAAAGACTCTTTGCAGGGGCTGGAGTTGTAGCTCAGCAGTAGAGCGCTTGCCTAGCATGTGTGAGGCACTGGGTTCAATTCTCAGCACCACATACAAATAAGTAAATAAAATAAAGGCATATTGGGCTGGGGGTTATGGTTCAGCGGTAGAGTGTGTGCCTAGCACATGCAAGGCCTTGGGTTTTATGCTCAGCACCATATAAAAATAAATAAAATAAAAGTATGTGTCCAACTACAACTAAAAAATAAATATTTTTTAAAAATAAACATCAACAACTAAAAATAAGACTCGTTGTTTAGCAAATAGAGATGGAGGTCATTTCTATTATAAAACTGAACCTTAGTGACGGACAATAATAAATGTACAGGGGCCAGACCCTCAGTGTTTGGCTGGATTATAAACCCCTATAATTAGGATGAACCAGATGAGTCTTTACCCCACATTCATGTTCACATTGGTTGATGGGTAAAACCTAATTCCTAGGTTTTCCCACTGGATTTGGTTAGATAGGATTTGAGCGCTCGATGACTACCTGGTACAATGTTGTATTCATACTCAAGCAATAATTAATTACGCTCATGGGATTGCATGTAACTTAACATAGCCATATAATCAATGCCATGTAAATTAGGAATCAGAGACATAATAGAAATGTGACAAATACAGTTGAGAATAAGTGAAAAAAGGGAACTTAAGGGCCTGGGTTGTGGTTCAGCATAGAGTACTCGCTTAGCATGTGTGAGGCCCTAGGTTTGATCCTCAGCGTCACATATAAATAAATAAAATAAAGGTATTGTATCCACCTACAACTAAAAAATTTTAAAAAAAAATTTTTTTTTTTAAAAAAGGGAACTTGAGGCCTGGTGCTTACTCAGGCTTAGCTGTTCCTCTGTGCCAAGTGATTCCTTCGCACTGCTTCTTCAATGAGCGCTCTCTTAGATGCAACAGTAAGATGTAACAATGATCACAGGTGGATTAATTGGCAGATAAGGATAGCTGTTTTCATAAAACCTTGTTTCATTGCAGAGGTTCTGTCCAGAAGCAGATTCTAAAACCATGTTACAGTGTTTGAAGCAAAATAAAAACAGTGAATTGATGGATCCCAAATGCAAACAGATGATAACCAAGCGCCAGATCACCCAGAACACAGGTACCATCCTGCTTAACTCTCTTGGTCTCATTGAGTATAGCTTGAAGGATAACTGAGAAAGCCACCATCCAGTCTGCTGATTAAACTATATAGTTACCTAATTAAACTGCAGATACTTTACCACCCTTGGATTTTAAGAGAAGAGCTTAGATGTAAGCAGAGTGACTTTCTCCTCCTTTGAGGAGTATCCAGAAAGGATGGCATGACAGGAGAAACAGGAAGCAAACATCTGGAAAACTGCCCTTGAGGAACAAGGGCTAGAGTTCCTTGGAAAAGATAGTTTAGAGATAATAAAACTGCATGAGCATGTCAAAAGATATGGGCAATCTCTTTTAGAACAGAAACTTCAGCTTTTGGCTGCAAGACCTTGTAGCTTAATATGCAGTGTGTTGGATATTTCTTTCTTGGTGTTTTCAAAAATATCTAGTATAGGCAAGGCTGTTGCTATCTGTTTGTTTTTTAATATTGGCCACAAAACCCTGCACAAGTGCTCTTGAACCAAATTATATCACTGATTAACAGTGGAGTGAGAGCTCAGTACATATTTACTAAATGAACAGATTGTGTTTTAGTTATGGTCATTGACATGCAGTCATGGTCATTGCCCCTTTTCAGAAAGGTGGATTTTTAAAAATTGATGAACTTTTCTAGGTGGAATATTTTATCAAGTATTTACTGCTTCTTACTCTAGATTATCGCTTAAATCCTGTGCTAAGAAAAGCCTGTAAAGCTGACATTCCTAAGTTCTGCCATGGTATCCTGACCAAGGCCAAGGATGATTCAGAGCTAGAAGGCCAAGTCATCTCTTGCCTCAAGCTGAGATATGCTGACCAGGTAAACAGAAGGGCTCTCCACAGAGCTGTGTTTATGGAGCTGCCTCTGTCCCTGGGAGTGTTCTCTATGAAAGTCTTTAGTGTACCCCTGTTTTCCCAAGACCTTTTTTATGGCCTTCCCCAAGCCAGATAATAAGGGACTAAATAAAAACTGACAATCTCTGGTGGGCTGCTGTATTCCCTCTTTGTCACATGTAGCGCCTGTCTTCAGACTGTGAAGACCAGATCCGCATGATCATCCAGGAGTCTGCACTCGATTACCGCCTCGACCCTCAGCTGCAGCTGCACTGCTCAGATGAGGTAGGATCAGGTGTAAAACTGGCTCTGAGTCTGGGTCTGCACAGAGCTGGTCAGAGAAGATTTACTGGAGAAAAGTTCTTTACTTTCTTTCTCTTCAGCCTTGAACTCATAGTTAGCTGCTGGCCCATTCTTTTACAGCTCTTAATGAATTCCAGGTTCTCTGTCCCTCTGAACTGTGCTTACCATTAGTCCATCAGACTGTCCTGTTGGCTTCATACTTCTCTGTTGAACAGGGTATTCTTTTATTATCACTTTCTACATATAATTTGTTCTTATTCTGTATAGTTAAATCAGAACACCCCAAGATTTGCCATAAAAATAAAAGTGTTCTTGTGATAGCTCTAAGTGCTTATCTGTAGAAATTATTCTACTCCTAGTTAGAAAAAGCCATGTGAAGAATCCTGTTTAATATACATCAATTTGAAAAAAATCACAGCTAAAGATGTTTCAAAGAACCTTACTCATAAAACTGTCCGAAGAAAGTTAAGTTTGTTATCTTCACTGTGGGCTTGGTTTAAGAACCCCTTTGTGTGTGCTTCCAAGTTGTGAGTCTGGGTTAACTCTGAACTCTGTAAATGTTAAGTATTTGCTTTCAGTATTTTATTGGGCTTTATAACCGTCCTCATGTGAAATTAGGGACTAGCCTCTTTGTTGAAGTCCTAGGACAGTGTGACTCCACAGCATAGAGATATGTACATTTACTAACTCAGTTCCATGTGCCTATCATCATGAAGGAAAACAGAACCTAGGAGCCTGGCCTCTGCAGGGAGAGGGTGTGTGCTCCACCAGCAAGCTGTTAGAGATAAGCTCTGGGCGCACGTGGAGGATCACCATGTCTACATATTGAAAGGCCAAGGTTTCTGGTGATAGCAGAACATCCCTCACCTGTCACTCAGCATCTGGTCAGTGCAGTGAGAGAAGTCACCAGTAGTGTCCAGGGACTGTTGGACTCAGCAGGCTCATCTGTTTAGGAAGCCTTTGTTCTTTATTGTGCTCAGGAGAATGGCCTTGTTTTCTTTTGTCTCCTGAACAGATTGCCAATCTTTGTGCTGAAGAAGCAGCAGCCCAGGAGCAAACAGGTCAAGTGGAAGAGTGCCTCAAGGTCAACCTGCTCAAGATCAAAACAGAAATGTGTAAAAAGGTAACCATCATCACCTTTTTTTCTCTGCTTTTGCTTCCCCTCCACCCTTCTTTGAATCAGAATCTTGCAGTGTTTCCCAGGCTGACCTCAAACTCCTGGGCTCAAGCAGTCCTCCTGCCTCAGCCTCTACCGTAGCTGAGACTACAAACACTCTACTGAGCCTAGTTTTGCTCCCCTTTTTCTCTTCTTTTAATGTTATGGTCTGTACTCCTTAGTAACAAGATCGGAACTCTAAGCCTTCCTTCACAGCATTCTATGTGTTTCGTAAAACTTTAAACCTTGTCCTTGACCATTATCTCCTTTAACTTTAATATTCTTTCACATACACTAATTATATGTAAATATGCCTCATCTTGCAGCTAGACCATTGTTTTTTTTTAATGTATTTTTTTAGTTTTTGATGAACCTTTATTTTATTTATTTATATGCAATGCTGAGAATCGAACCCAATGTGTCACACATGCTAGGTAAGTGTTTCACCACTGAGCCACAACTCCAGCCCACTAGACCATTATTTAAAGGCACCCTGAACAAAACAAAATGTTAGTACCATTTTATCGTTTCACACTCATGACAATCAATGAAACAAAGTATCTAGTTCATTTAAGAAATGTCACCTTATTAGCAGGGTGCAGTGGTACACTTCGGTAATCCCAGCAATGCAGGTGGATGGCAAGTGCAAAGTCAGCTTGGACAACTTATCAAGACCCTGTCTCAAAATATACTAGAAAGGCTGGAATTGTGGCTCAGTGGTAGAACACTTGCCTAGTGTGAGGCTGGGTTCAGTTATCAGTGTTGCATATAAATAACTGAATAAAATACAGGTCCATTGATATCTAAAAAAATTTTTTTTTAATAAATACAGTAGAAAGGGTAGGGAATATAGCTCAGTGGTAGAGCATTAGCCTAGCCTGTGCAAGCATTGGGTTCAATTCCCTGTACCAAAAAATACTAACAATCAAATTATGCCTTCTAAGCATACATTATCTTGCAATACGGAAAATGCAATTTAGCAGACTAGACCATTTAACAAGAGCCTGTCTCAGTTTCACAAAAGGGCTACAGATGCTTTCAGGGATAAAGCATTTGTCTAACAAGCCCAAGACCCTGGGTCCAATCCCTGGTACTGCCCAGAAAAGGGCAAAGGAATTAATGTGTTTGACCTTTAAAAAAAAAAAAATTAATCTTGTTTAAAAGAAACTTTTATTGATGTCATTGTTGAGTCATTAAGAATGTTGTTTACAAATTTTTTCATCTGCCTAAAATGTTTGATTCCACATGTTCTAAAAAATGGTAGGAGCTGGTTAAAAACTTAACTTTTCCTGCCGGGCATGGTGGCGCACATCTGTGATCCCAGTGGCTCAGGAGGCTGAGACAGGAGGATATTGAGTTCAAAGCTAGCCTCAGCAACAGTGAGGCACTAAGAAACTCAATGAAACCCTGTCTCTAAAAAAAAAAATACAAAATAGGCCTGGGGATGTGGCTCAGTGATCAAGTGCCCCTGAGTTCAGTTCCCAGTACCAAACAACCAAACAAAAAAGTTTTCCTTTGACTCCTTTGTCATCAAATGATCTCGTATAAGTTTGGGCAGGATTATTTAGTTTTGTGTTATTGTCTTATAGAACTGCAGTCTTCCCGTTGAGAACAAACTAAATTGTGGCTCAGCAGTAGAGCACTCGCCTAGCATGTGTGTGAGGCTCTGGGTTCAATCCTCAGCACACATAAAAATAAATAAATAAAATAAAAGGGTATTGTGTCCAATTACAATTGAAAAATATAAAAAAAGAAAAAAGAAAGAAAGAAAGAAGACATTTCCGAAGTTGGAATGTAGCTCAGTGGTAGAGCATTTGCTTAGCATGTGCATGGCCCTGAGTTCAATCCCCAGCACCACAAAGGAAGGCATTTCTGGCCCATCTTTCCTCCTGTCTATAATTTCATCATGCATAAATGGAGCATCTGTAGAGTTGATATTAGTTCTAATAAAGTGTTTACATTGCTGTTGCTCAGGATAGTAATAAATTCAGATAATTTCTCTTGCAGTAAAAGTAATATTCTGTCCATTCTTTTTTCCTTTTGGGAATGATAGAGGTAAAAGTGGAATATTTTATAAACAAATTGACCCATATTTGGGAATTTTTATATAGCCTATTATGCTGAGTTTTACATTTCATGGGTTTTTTTTCTTGATTTCCCAAAGTTAACAGAATAATTATATGACACCAATAAAAACACTACCATTTAGGTACTTTAAAATTATATAGCCAGGAGCTGGGGTTATGGCTCAGTGGTAGAGTGCCCGCCTAGCACGTGTGAGGTCCTGGGGTTCAATCCTCAGCACCACATATAATAAATAAGTAAAGTTTAAAATATATATATATATATATATATATATAGAGAGAGAGAGAGAGAGAGAGAACAAGTGCACTAAACTCAGCTCACCAAATATATACTCCAAAGTCATGCCCTCAATGATCTACCTCCTCCAACCATACCCTACTTGCCTACAGTTACCACTCAATTAATCCCTATCAGGGGATTAATGCACTGACTAGGTTAAGGCTCTCATAACCCTATTTCATTTCTAAACTTTTTTTCATTGTCTCACACTTGAGCTATCAGGGAACACCTCATATCTAAACCATAATGGCCTATAAGATCATAGAGTTTAATTCCTATAGAGGGACTAAATAAAGGGGAAAGCAGTTTGCTAAAGAGGAGATATTAACTAGATAAAAAGCACTAAAGACTAAGAGCAAAAAAGAGGACGTTCATATAGGATTTTCCTTTTCTCAAAAAGAGAGATAATTTTTTGCTGCTTTAATAATGTTGCAGTAGCTGTATTTACCCAGGAATGTTTTATGCAAATTAAGTTGCTCAATATGAATGCCTGTTAATAGGCTATAGCTCATAAAGCAATAACTTATCTGGGTACATCACCAAAGGGAGTATAAAATTGTATAGAAAAACCTTCTGGTTGGACTAGCTATCAGAGAATATAGTTTATGGCTTTGAAAATGGAAAATGAATTTATTGTTTGATGAGTGTCAAAAAGATAAGCTTATACCTAAATATTTTGTGCCCAATCAATTGATAGCATGTTTCTATTTTCAGTAAAAGTCTAGAATAAAGACATATATATATAT